GATGCTCTTGCCGAAAGCAGCATGTTGGGAGCATCTTTGCCGGTGGCAGGGTATCCGTCAGGCTGACCCCCGCGCGCCTGGAGAAGGGCCTGAAAACCAGGGAGCTGCCAAAAAAGCTCTTTGGAGGAGTATTAATAACAGCCGTGTCACTGAGCGGAGCGGCGAAGTCTGGCTTCTCCCGCCCAGCGGTTTAAATTGCAGGAGAAGGTGGAAAAGGGATAACGCTGGGGGGAGCGGGAGCGAGGGGCTGCAGTGGGCTCCCGCGGCCACGGAGCTGGGGATGGGTGATGGGGGCTGAGACCCACACAGATCCCTCCTGCCCTCCCTGTCTTCCTGCTTTTCCTGGAGGAAGGCTGCGTTGCCGGGGGAGCTCGGGAGAGCTCTCGGCGGGGGAAATGTGCACAGGCAGACGCCGTCCTTGCCGGCGGCTCGGTGCAGCCAGCCAGTTCCCGCTGCTGGAGAGCTGCCCTGGGCCGGGCTCCGCCGCGGGAAATCTGCGGGAGCTTTGCCATGGCCTCCAGGAGCTGCCGGTTTGGGCCCTAAAGGGGCGGCTGGGAATTGCTCAGCCCCGGAGAAACTTCGTGGCACCCGTGCGGAGGGCGAACGGAGCCCAGCCTCCGCTCCCGGCTGCCCGGTACAGCTGCCCGAAGGGGTTATTCCCATCGGTGCTGAGCCCTCCTGCTGCCGAGCAGCTCAGTGCACGTGTGTGTACCTGCGCTTGCACGCAGCGGAGGTGCAAGCTGTTAACTCGCCACGGGTACAGCAGCGTTTCTATACATCTGACCTATGAGGTCAGACCTATCTGCTCCCTACAGAGGGGAGATTTAGATGAGATATGAGGAAGAAATTCCCTCCTGTGCGGGTGGTGATCCCCCGGCGCAGGGGGCCCCGAGAAGCTGTGGCTGCCCCATCCCTGGAGGTGTTCAAGGCCAGGTTGGACGGGGCTTGGAGCAACCTGGGCTGGGGGGAGGTGGCCCTGCCCAGGGCAGGGGGTGGCACCGGATGGGCTTTAAGGTCCCTTCCCACCCAAACCATTCTGTGATTCTATACAGCAAACCACTGCTGTGGGTGGCTCAGGGCTGCCAGGGAGCACTCGGCTCTGTGGATCCAGCCAGCTTGGAGGGCATTTCCCAAAGGGACAAATCTGCTTTTTTGGCAGCGAGCGGCATCCTGGGCACGGAGCGGGACAGCCCGTCCCCGGTGAGCGGTTCCCCGGGAGCTGGTGCGAGCAGGCGCTGCCGTATCGCCCGGGGCCCTCAAAGGACCTTTGAGAAAGCCCTGAGACATAAAGCCCTTTTGTCACCAGTCTTTTCTTTCCACGTCTTCCCCGTGGCAGAGGAGATGCTGGAAGTGCCAAAACTCTCCCTGCGGAGCCTGTTGGACCCTTGAGCTTTGCAAAGCAGCCTGAGCTCCTGTCACTTGCTGCCCCTTCGTTTTTGGAAGGCGCGAGGAGGGGCAGGACCAGGCAGGGGTGCGCAGGATGCCGGCCCCGGGGGGGCCTCGCTGCCTGCGCGCGGCTTTTTGGAGGGTGCGGGGGAAGGAGGGAAAACAATAGCTTATTCTTTACGTTTCCTAGCGCAAGCGACCCGGTGCCACCAACGTCCGTTTTGCAGGCGGGGTGGCTGCGGCCGAACCCCAGCCCGGCCGTGGGGAGACGGGATGGGGCATCCCGGGTTGAATTTTGGGGTGTCTCATGGGATGGAGAGGGGCCGGGGGCTGAGCGCGTGGTGTGTGTCCCCGCAGCAAGCACGCGCTGGGCAGCCACGAGTACATCCAGCACTGCAGGAAATTCGACATCGACATTCGCCTGCAGCTGATGAAGAGGAAGGGGGTGCGCAGTGACCTGGCCCGGACGGTGGGTACCCGGGTGCTGGTGGGGGGGGGCGAGAGGGGGCGCAGCGTGGGGATGCCCATGTCACCTCCCCCCCGCGGGACGACCCGC